AAGGATATATTAAGTACCTGTAGTAAAGCAACTGTTGAATCTGGATGATGGGCATGCAGAAAATATTTTATTATTTTATCTAGTTTTAATATTTTATTTTATTATTTTATATAGTACTTTATTGTTTTTTCATTTCTTCTTAAGAAATATTTATTTATTTATTTATTTATTTATTTATTTATTTATTTATTTTAGAGAGAGAGGGAGTGGGGTGGGGAGGGACAGTGGGAGAGGGAGAGAATCTTAAGCAGGCTCCACACCCAGCACAGAGCCCCACGTGGGGCTTGATCTCACAACCCTGAGATCATGACCTGAACTGAAATCAAGAGTCGGACACCTAACTGACTAAGCCACCCAGGTGCTCCTTCTTTCCTTTTTTTTTTCTTAAGTAAACTCTAGGGCACCTGGGTGGCTTAGTCGGTCAAGCATCTGCCTTTGGCTCAGGCCATGATCCCAGGGTCCTGGGATCAAGTCCTGCATCGGGCTCCTAGCTCAGCAGGGAGCGTGCTTCTTCCTCTCCCTCTGCCTGCTTATCCCCCTGCTTGTGGTCTCTCTCTGTCAAATAAATAATCTTAAAAAAAAAAACCAAAAGGGGCGCCTGGGTGGCTCAGTCAGTTAAGCGTCTGCCTTCGGCTCAGGTCATGATCCCGGGGTCCTGGGATCGAGCCCCGCACCGGGCTCCCTGCTCAGCGGGAAGCCTGCTTCTCCCTCTCCCACTCCCCCTGCTTGTGTTCCCTCTCTGGCTATGTCTCTCTCTGTCAAATAAATAAATAAAATCTTTAAAAAACAAAAAACCCAACTCTACACCCAACGTGGGGCTCAAACTCATGACCCCAAGACTGAGTCACAGACTCCACCAACTGAGCCAGCCAGGCGTCCCTAATTTATCTAGTACTTTATAACATTTTCCATTTTCAAAATGGACGTAAATTAAAAAGTGTATGTCAAGGATGCCCGCGAAGAGTTAAGAAAACCGTTTCATGACAAATAAGCAGAGAAAACATCGTTGCATTTATAAATTATTATAGTGTTACATAATTCATGATTTTCAACGTGTGTGTAATCAAATTGATAAACTAAATTATATAAATAGACATTTGTCAGTTTATCTACAGCCCTTCAAGTTATAGCCACAAGTTAGCCAACCACTGAAGTTCTCCTCGTTGGGAAAAGGCCCACGTGTAAATGATAACCGAGCTTTGGGAGGCCATTAGGGTGGAGGGTGGATGAGGTTTTGGCTGGAGGCTCCAGAGATGGTGAGGGGCCCTGTGTGTCCCTGGGACAGCTAAGGGGAGAGGGCATTGGAGGGAAGAAGCCCCGGGGTGGAGGGAGTCAGTTAGCAATAGACTGCAGCAACACCCCCTAGTGAGAAACCAGGCAATCATCACCGTTCACTCATTCCAGCAGCAGGGGTATCCTTATCTCCTGCTCTCAGCCACCTAGCCTGAATTTGTAGATTCCTCCTTCTGTATTGTTCTAAGGAATTTCTGGTATCTCAGCTTCATCTAATGAAGACCACTATTGGGTTTCAATTATCGATCAACCAACTATGCTATTAGAACCATTCTCAGCTGTTGGAGCTGGGACATTAAAACCCCAAAGTCTCTTGGGGTTCACTTATATTTATAAATTCAGCCAAGTTTAATGTTATGTTCCTTCCTCCCTGACTTAACATGTCTAAGTTACATGTATATTCTCTAGGTTTCAGCTCACTTATTAGCTAAGGCTTGCCTTTTTTTTTTTTCCTTTCCCTCCCTGCTTGCTTGCTTTCTTTCCTAAATCAGTAAATCACCTCTAGGGTCAGACCACGGGCTTGTTCCCTGGGGCACTTTGGACTGGGCCAGATCTGGAGACCAATAAAGGATAATGATCTCTGAGGGGAATCAGCATCTCTTTGCAAAGTAGCTTCCTCAGATAAGGCCATGACGTGCTTTCCAGGGAAAGCAGGGTCAGTCTCATTCAATGGGAGGAGGGGGCTGCATCGAATGCATCTAAGGCAAAAGAGTTTCACTGAATTTTGGATTAGGGAATTTAGTCATCTGCATCCACCCAAACACCTCCTTCTTGATTGCTAAGTGCCACTTGTTTCCATCCAATGCACCTGGCCAGCCTGTGAACACAACTTCTATTGCAATTATATTACAATTCAGCAACCCACAGTATCAGCTCTGTCCAATTTTTTGGCAACATAAGCCCTGTAGCTACAAGAGAGGAGATAAATTTTTTAGAGTAGTCAGGAATGGCCCTTGCTTCTCTGGTCCTGTCTTGAGCTGAGAATTTAAACCCTAAATATTTCTTTTTTGAAAGTCTTCAGTGCAATTATAAATAGGCAGCCTACGTGACAGTCCTTACAGTCCTCACTCTCCTCTAATGGTCAGTGTGACAGTCACTCCATCCACCAAAGCCTATCTTTATTAGGCACTTTCCCCCAGGCAACAATACTTACTGTGATAAGTGATAACTTCTGTAACTACTTTTTCCCTGTGCGAAGTAGGCTAGATCTGCATCACCTTCAAATCTAATGCCTTGACCCCTTGAAGGTCAGTTTCCTGCAGAAATAGAAACCTTGCTGGGCATTCTCTTTAAACTTTTTATTGTGAAGAAAATGTAAGTTCACATGCAATTGTTTTTTTTTTTTAAGATTTTATTTATTTATTCGACACACAGAGAGAGAGACACAAGCAGGGGGAGCAGCAGGCAGAGGGAGAAGGAGAAGCAGGCTCCCTGCCGAGCAAGAAGCCCGATACGGGGCCCCATCCCAGGACCCTGGGATCACGACCTGCGCTGAAGGCAGACGCTTAACCGACTGAGCCACCCAGGTGCCCCTGTTTTTTGTGTTGTGTTTGTTTGTTTGTTTTAGAGAAAGAGCGCGACTCAGCGAGAGCAGGGGTGGGAGGCCGTGAGAGAGGGAGAGAATCTCAAGCAGATTCTGGGCTGAACTCAGAGTCCATGACCCTGAGATCATGACCTGAGCCGAAATCAAGAGTCATCAAGAGTCAAATGGTCAACCGACTGAACCACCCATGCGCCCCGGTTCATATGCAATTGTAAGAAACAATACAGAGCAATTCCACCACCACCCTTCTTTACCCAGTTTCCGCCATGCTCACATTTTGCAAAGCTAAGGTACCATCATATCACAACCAGGATATTTACATTGATACAGTCAAGGTACAGAACATTTCCATCCTACAAGGATCCCTCACGTTGTCTTCAGACTTCTTTTAAGCAGAAAGGGATTTCATACAGAAAATTAAGTGTTTATAACATTATTGGAGGGGTTGAAAGAAGGGTCTCTAGACTGGTCCTCTAGTCATGGCTCCCAGAACACCATAGAACTCACCAACCAGAGGATATTACTTCTGCCACAATCAGGAAGATGAGGAATCAAGAAGTCATCACCGAGATTATTGCATTCAACATATTGCCAGCAAGAATCCAGGGATTTAGATTTGGGGCTAGAAGCTGGTTCCCAGGCACTAGAATGCTGAGTTTGGCTGTCAGCATCTCACAGATGCTTCTGAACACTCGTGAAGCTGGACACTAGCCAGCTGCTGAAAACCCTCACATCTGCATGACCTTGCTTGCCAGCAGCAATCAGCTAACATTGGTAGGACAATGGCTATTGCCTCACTTCTGCCTTCCATCCAATCTTACCAACTGGCAGAATCCATCTGTATCTGGAATTCTAACTGCCACTGAGTCCGGGAAATGGAATTTTAACTTTTTAGATTCTGGAAGGAATGGATGATGAGTCCCAGCTGACTACATCCAACACAGATGGACACAGAGGTAGATCTGTGTCCTTTGTATTGGGAGGACAAGAGGGGTCCTATCAGATTTGCTATGATTTTCCTGTAAAAGAAAGGGCGAAGTCAACTGCTGCTGAGCTTTTTAGTTTCCCTACTGATTGTGAAGGGAGGAGTAGTGACTTGGCCAGATGGACATTTTTTGACGTTCCTCTTCAGGCTAGTGATCATGAATTTGTAGGGAACAGTCTGTCCCTTTGGGTATTTTGTCCAACTGTGCATGGCTGTTTGGGTGCAAGCAAAGAGAAAAGGTGCAGCTGGATTTACTGAGGGTTGGAAAGCTTACCAAATCCGTGTGACAAAAAGACAAGGGAGGAAAGGAGTTCAGGGTGGTGGCAAGAGTGTTATGAAAACCCATGGGAGTGGGGCGCCTGGGTGGCTCAGTCATTAAGTGTCTGCCTTTGGCTCAGGTCATGATCCCAGGGTCCTAGGATTGAGCCCGCATGGGACTCCCTGCTCAGCGGGGAGCCTGCTTCTCCCTCGCCCTCTGCCTCTGCACCCCCCACTCCCCGTTGTGCTCACTCGCTCTCTCTCAAATAGATAAATACAATCTTAAAAAAAACAACAAAAAACCTCATGGGAAATAAACAGGATCAGAAGTGAAGAAAAGAGAAAGCCCACGAACTGTGAGGAAGTAGAGGTGCAGAAAAGTTGGAAAGAGGCCACAGAGGGACTGTTCAAGTCGGTAGACACGTTTGTTTCCAGCACCCTCGTTCACACCCAGGCTAATCCTAGATCTGCCCTAAATAGGAAATGGGGCAATGGTTGGCTCAGAAGGTAGAAAAACATAAGCGGGGATCTGCAACTTCGGAGGCACAACTAGGTTCACGTCTGTGCTCCTCCACTTATAAGACGCGTGACAATGGGCGATTCATTTACTCTTCCTGAGCCTCCGTTTTCCCTTCTTCAAAAGGGGGGAGAAAAAGACTATCCTACCGTTAGCGAGAGGACTTAATGAGATCATGCACGTAAAGTGCTTAATACAGTGCCTGGCACACAGTAAGCGCTGAACGCGGGGAAGCTGTTACAGTTATGTTTGGAGTAAGTTATGTTTGGAGCCAAGGAAGGGTTACAATGAAGACAATTCTAAGTGCAGAAGTCCTGTAATACAGAACTTCTGGATAGGTAGGCGCATGCGCCTGTCGGCCGTCCTCGGCTAGCGCGGACGTTGCGCATGCGCCGGAAGTTGCAGCCGGGAAGCCAGCGAGGTCGGTTCCGCCCGACTCTAACATGGCGGCGCCCTTTGTCTGCTCTGAAGTGCCGTCCCCGGCCTTCTCGCGGCCGTGATGCCCCTCCCTCTACGGTGGGGTCCGGGACATGGCAGGTGAGGGTCAGCAAGCGCCCGGGGCTGGCCGAGTCTCGGGAGCCGGGCGGAGGCGGCGAAAGATGGGGCGCGGCGGGACGCCGGGGACGGTTGTGTGGGGGAGGGGAGGGAAGTGGAATGAGAAGGGAACCCGGACTGAGGGGACCCCGCGGGGTAGGAGGGTGCAGGGCAGCTGGGGTGGGGGGCGCCTCCAGGCGAGCGGGCGCGGAAGGGGCGAGCGGACCGGCAGTTCCTGCGAGGGAGCGCGGGTCGCCTCCCGGGTTGGGTGACACCCCAGCTGGTAGCATCTCCGCCCCCGCCGCCCGGCTGTCACTGTCCCTTGCGCGCGGGGTCGTTCTGCGGCCGCTGGCTGGCGGGGTGCCGGGGCAGCTCACGTCGGCGGGTCGGGGCCGGAGGGCACGGGCCTGCCAGAACCAGGAGGTGCTTGCAGAGTGGGAGGTCGACACTGCCCCTGTATAAGATTATTTCATTCATTCATTCCTTCCGCAGACGGTGGCCCGGCATCTGATAGGTTGTGGGGATAGAGCAGGTGAACCGGACAGACTTGCTCCTGGTGTAGTGGTTGGAACCAGGCGGCCGGGGTTTGAATCCCGACTCTCTGCTTGCCCGCTGTGTTCTGAAGCACGTTAGGTTCTCGCTCTGTCTCAGTTTCCTCAAACTTAAAGCAGAGATAATAATAAAACCTGCCTCCTAAGGTTGTTCTAAAGATTTAATAAGGTGATAGGTGCAAAGTGCCAAGAACATTTCCTGGCACAAAGTAAATACTGTGTGTGTTTGTTGCTGCGATTATTTGTTTCATGAGACTCATGTGGGAGCCATAGAGATAAACAGCACCTCTGATACTGCTGTAATGGAAGAAAAGCAGAAAAGTTCTCCTTGCTCTGGAAAGAATAGAGGCACCGAGGCACCTCACTCGGTCTAGGCGAATCCAGGGAGGCTTCTGCCCCCTAAGAAGCGGAGACCTAAAGGATGCTTAGGAGAGTGGAGGCAAGAAAAGGGGGGGGGAGTATTCTCAGTTGAAGATGGAGTTTGTGAGAAAGCTTAGGGGCTAGTGTAATAATTAATTTTTCTCCTAGAGACAGAGCTAAGAGATAAGACTGAAGAAGCTGGCTGTGGTCTGGTCCTACGGGGCCTTGTAAACCTAGTTAAGGACTTGAAGTTTTAGGTTAATGGGAAGCCATTTAAGAATCAGATTTGTGGATTAGAACAATCACCTGGCTAAATCTGTATGAAGAGGCTGCTAGAATAATCCAGGTGAGAAATGAGGGTGGCCTCGAGTCAGGTTAGAGGCACAGGTTGGGGAGGGAGGTTTTGGAGAATTGACAAAACTTGGTGATTACTTAGATGAGGAAGTTAGAGGCAGAGAGGTGTCAGGATTGACCTCCTCTTCTTGACCGGCAGGTGGTGATGCCACACAGTGAGATAGGGAACAGGATGGAGAGCGGATGCGAGAAGGGAAGATATATTTAGTTTCGAATATGTGGAAAGTGGGTGCCTGTAAAACAGTCCAGTGGAACTGTCCAGTGGTGAGCTAGCAGTTGTCATCCAGCAAAAGTCCCTAAAGTTGTGGGAGGGGGTGTGCTCACCGAGGGCAAGGGTATGAAATGAGAACAAGAGCGTCTGAGACACCCCGGGGGAAATGCTAATGCTGTAGCAACACGGGAACCTGGGCACAGTCTTGTTGCTCTTGCTTTTCAACATTGTGTTATGTCTTTTGGTAAGCAGGTATTCCTGAGTGTAGGAACCAGGAGCGGGTTTACTCATCTTTGTGTCCCAGCTGTCGAGCATGGTGTCTGGCATGCAGCAGGCCAATAATGATCCAAACAGACTTGTCCTGAGTGCTTACATTGTGCCAGGCTCTGTGCTCAGGGCTCTGGATTTGCCTATGTTTCTTGGATGCATAAAAGGGCAACTCTTAGGGAGCAGGTGCCTTTCGGGTTCTCATCAGATTTTCCACTTGGGTGTCTTTGATTCAGGTAATGAGCTGGAGGAGGAGAGCCAAGCTGGAGTTTACACAGACAAACTGTCAGAAAAGAGTAGCCTGGGCTTCTTGGAAGTCTGAGGTATGTCTGTAATGCTCAAGGATGAAACAAACCAGGAGGTCAGTTTGTTTGTCCTTCTTCTCTAGGCTCAGCGTGACTCAAATCACCCTTTCAAGATAGCTTCTTCTTTCAAGTTATACAGTAATGACAACATCTGAGTTTGGTTGGGAAATTGTGGCTATCATTTATGCTTGGTTTACCAACAAAGACCGAACTAGGTTAATCACTGGGCAAATGCTCACACCTTGTTTTAATCAAGTACAACCTAACATGCTCCAACAAAGCAATTCCAAACTACAGTGGCTGAAACAAGCTCAAAGTGTATTCCTCCCCTCTTATTAAACGTCTAGAAGTGGGCATTCCAGAGCTGGTAGGGCATCCTGCTCTGTTCTGTGAAGTATCCAGGAACAGTTCTAGTGATCATGTGGCTCTCTTTGCTCAAACCCAGGCTTCCATCTCATGGTCGAAGCTGGCTGCTGCAGCTCCTGCCATTGTATATACACTCCGTCTGGCAGAAAGGGAAAGACAGAGTGGGGAGCACATGTTCATTCCTTTTAAGGTTCTAATGTTTAAAGGTACATATTTTTGTACAACATGTCCCCAAACATAAGCATCTGGTGTACAACCAAAGAGCGAATCATGACTGTTCCAGTGCTGGAGGGAAAGCTGGCTGAGAGAGCCTGCTTGGTCCCTCGTGTGACTGAATTGCTGTCCCCGAGGCTTGGGCCTCGGAGAAGGGAAGTCCACTGCATTGGTGGAAGAGGCAGGCTGCTCTGGCTTTGGGTAGGTTGATGTTGCTTGGGCCCAGGGAGTCCAGGCTTGTTTATGCATTCAGTGTTTTCTGTGTCCAGCGTGTCAGACACTGTGCTAGGGGTGTAAGACTGGATCCCGGGAGCAAGGAGCTCTTAGCTATGTGGATGATCACAATACAGTACAAGGAGCACCACGGGGGAGACGCACAGGAGAAGGATGACTGATGTTGGAAGGCTCTACCGAAGCAGGGAGATGAAGAGTGAACAGCGTGCTTGGATTGACATCTGTGCAGGTCTCCTCAGATAGAGGCAGCGAAGACTCTGATGCCGGGTGTGAATCCCTGCTTCCCTGTGTCGTGGCTCTCTGAGGGCCAGTTACTTCACCGCCGTGCCTCCGTTTCCTCATCTGTCAAATAGGGATAACGGTATCTAGCTCCCAGAATTGTTTAGAGAGATCAAGCGTGTACTTCATGGGGTTTGCCGCGTAAAGCGGAATGACCTCCTGCTGCAAGGTGTGGGGTGGTTCGAAGCCAGAGAGGCTAGTGAGGACTGCAGTCAAAGAAGGCCCAAACCTGTAGGGAAACCAGGTTGCGGCCTCCCTCAAGGCAGGAAGTATCCAGATTGTGCAGAGGGGGTCAGCAACTGCGCTGTGAGTTCTACCAAGCTCTCTACTGAAAGGTGTCCATCTGTGGATTCTCAGAGACCATACTCTAACAGGTCTGGTGAGGGGTCCTTTGGGAAGGGAAAGATTCCCTCTAATTCCCGCAAGCTCAAAAGCTTCTGGAAAGCCTTCTCTGGGCCCTGCCCAGCCACCCACCCCCCGCTGAGTTTGGATCTCCTTCTCCGTTGATCTCTTAGCATCCAGCACTGATCTCTCAGTGCATTCGTATCTCACATTATAATCCTGGGTTTCTTTGTCTCCTCGTTGGCCCCCAGCACCTTGCAGGCAGGGACAGGGGATCGTTTCTCCTGGTAGCCCCACTGTGTAGCCCATTTCCTGGCACATAGCTGGTGCTCAATAAATGTTGTTGGAGGGTGGATTATCAGCCCTGATTGGCTGAAGAGGAACTGGCAAGCTGGCCGGAACTCCAGTGTGATGTGGGGTGGCGCGCTATTGACTTAAGAGAGGAGAACCTGATGGTTGATTTGGTATCTGGCTGGACTATGGACGTAAACATGGTGAACTGTAGTATGACCTGAACGATGAGAGTTTAGGTCAGAAGATAGTTTCTCTGTCTTTCTTTTTCCAGTAGAGCATGGTTTCTCAGCCTTGACGTTATTGTTATTTGGGCTTGCATAAATCTTTGTTGTGGGCTGTCCTGTGCACTCCAGGATGATTATGGCACCCCTGGCCTCCACCCATAGATGCCCGTAATACCCACCCACCTGCAGCTGTGATCGTGGAACATGTCTCCAGACATTGCCAAACGTCTCCTGGGACAGATCGTCCCCAGCTGGAACCCACACATAGGGTACTTCTAAGTCAGGCATCCCTGGGCTCGTAGTAGTTCTTATACTTATTAGATGTGTCCCTTTGGGCAAAATACTTGGTCTCTCCAAGCCTCAGTTTTCTCAGTTGCAAAGTGGGGATACGGATGACCTCACACAGTTTTATTGGCCAGAATTATCGATGAGGTAATGCATGTAAAATGCTTATTCGAGTCCCTGACTCCATCATTGGTGACTGGTGTTATTACGTGTTAGGAGAAGAGGACCCTTGAGAGGGTCAAGAAAGAAAGTGTGCAGAGGAAGAAAAAAAATGTTTGGTAGAGGAATATGCACAAGGTGCACAAATCAGAAGGTTCTAAAGAATGCGCCATGGAGGGGCACCTAGGTGGCGCAGCCCATTAAACATCTGACTCTTGTTTTCGGCTCAGGTCATGATCTCAGGGTCGTGGGATCGAGCCCTGGGTCAGGCTCCACGCTCCCCGCTCAATGCAGAGTCTGCTTGAAGATTCTCTCTCCCTGTCCCTCTACCCCTCCCACTCATCCTCTCTCCCTCTAAAGTAAACAAATAAATCTTAAAGAAAAAAAAAAAAAAGGAATGCACCATGGAGAGTAAATCATGCTTCAGTGCCTGACCCAGTTCCCCTTCCAGATAAATGTTAATAGTATCTGTGGGTCCTTTCAGAGCTATTCCGTGCATCTGTATGTCTCTGTGTATGCCCAGGGAAGACCATTAAAAAAATTTTTTTTTTTTGGGCGC